TGTGAAAGCCACTCGGAGGAGCAACCTATGCCTTCTATGGCCAGATCTCAAAGTGCACATTTTTGTGTGACATCCTGCACAAGCAGCCAGGCTCTCATTAAGATGCAGCCCGTTAGATGATCGCTAGGGAGAGATTCAGGGTGTGGGAAGCACTTTGAGTAACATTCCATAAAAGCATTAGACTGTTAGAGATTAGGAGGGCCCTGATTGTCCACAGTGGGGGAGAGGACTGAATCGAATGTACGCACATGTCAGCGTGAAATAGCTGCTGACACAAATTGAACATGTGCAATTTTTTAAAAAGGTGGTATTGAATAACAGGCCAACAGCCATCCCTCTCGGCATTTTAGGCCTCTTTCTTCTCTCCACTTTGGCTCCGTGTTGAGTCACTTCCATCAGGCAAGGTTCCATAGGATAAGCCATTTGAATCTGGTTGTATTTTGTCCAACATTTGTTTCCCTGTGGAGATAATAATCATAAAAGACCTTTTGAGCTCTTAAAAGATAAAAAAAAAAAGTCCTAATAATTTCTCTCCAGTTCTGGCCACATTTTATGCCTTAAAAAAATACTATGTGGTTACCCTCTCAATGGAAAAGATAAAACGTCAAGGGAGGGCTCACAAAAATCTCATAGTCCTTGTCTTGTGGTCACACACTTGTCCACATGACATCTACCCATTCTGCACTGGGCATAGAAACAGGTTGGAACAATCAGGAGAGCCACATAGCTCCGTCACTCATCTCCAAACCTCTCTCTGAAGGGTTTTGTCTTCCCCTTTGTCTATACAACAACATAGGAAAACACCATGGGCCAGCAGCTTTAAAGAGCATTGCAGACTACACACAGAGTTTCATAAAGTGGAAAATAGTTAATGAGCAAAAAACAAAATAAAACAAAACAAACAAAACAAACAACCAAAAACCACCCTTTTGGATTCCAGCATTTTTATTTCTTATAAAAAATAAACAGTTTTAAACAAAGCCCCAGTGAGCACTGTTGCTACAAATGTCAATTCTATCCCTGACTACTCTTGATTAGGTAGCTCACAGGTCAAAGAGAACACAAAACTCACTTCCTTGCTCTTCACTTTTTAATCTTACAGAAACTTTAGTCATTTTTGCTTTAAAGGCACGATGGACAGAATGGTGGACAAAACTACTACTGCATGGAAATCTGTAGTTCACCCCAAATCCTTAGCAAGGCTGGGAGTGAGTGGGTGGGTGGGTTAGGGTCGGGGAGTGCTAAGGATGGCTGGCTTTGCTCTGGGTTTTGCTTCTGTTGTGTGCCATGTGCACACGAGGTAGGCTGGTTCTCAGTGGAGATGAGCACTGGAAAGATGGTACCCGTTGACACAGTCTGCATGAATGAGGAGAGGAAGGAGAGTGTTCACGTCCTGGTGATGGTGGTGTCACTCTCAGCATCACAGCGAGCAAGCTGCCTCAGTTTTCCTCGGGAGCGATGCTCTTTAGCATCGGGACCATCAATCCTCCCTTGGATGTCCCATCAAAGGGTCTGTAGGTGTCAGGGATCTGACACTCCCCATGCATCCATGTCCTTTGACCCTTTAAGGAAACCCCAGTGAGATCCTCCAAGTGACCCGCATGAAGGAAGCCTTGTCAGTTCTTCAGCAATCTCATTGTTTTGTGCAGAGCTGACATCTATAAATTATCAACGTTATAGTTCCCTGGGCTTCATTACTCAATGCACTTCTTGAGGTGAAAAAAAATTAAGTTTTTATGTTAACATGCAAAATGGTGCCAACAATGATTAGCTTATGAGGATAAATTTTCTTTTCTGTAATGTAAAAAGATGGCACTTATTTGTGTGTGTGTGTATGCGGGCATGGAGGTTAGAACACTTGGAAGAGTCGGTTATCTCCTTCAACCCTGTGAGTCCTAGGGAGTGGACTCGCATCACCGGGCTCGGTGGCAAGCCCTTTTTATCCACTGAACCAGGCCCAAGGATAATCTATTATAAATTAGAGAAAAATATACATATCTTTTTTTCTTACCAGGAATATTCCCGAAATCAATAAAAGACTGTTGTAGGTGTCCATTTTCTCTATTTCTTGTCACCAAAAATACTCCAAGGAATGACAGAAAGCACCTGTAAGGAACACAGGAATACTGAAACAGCTCATAGTATTAAATAACTGTGCTCTAACTTGAACATGATGACATAAATTCCATCAGTTTTGTATATCCCATTTCTTATGGTAAACTGCCTCAAACTTGTCTTAATTTTTACAGCCAGTAAAAGTTATACCCAGAACCAAGACTTGGGTAGTTTCCAATAAATCTCTGCTCCCAGGTTTTCACCATCTGGAGGCTAATTCAGGCTCTAAACCCTTTGGGTAGACACTAGGTCTCGTTTTCTATCCATGCATGCCCAGACCCATTACTGGCATGCAACATGAGTGAAAAACAAGTTATTCTTTAATTTTCTAAGAAATCTCATTGTCCTTGGCCATAAGAGTAGTCATAGTTTCCAGACCCCAGAAGTTTGGCCGCGCCCAAATGTCTTATGAAATTGAATTTTCAAGATAGATGGTTTCCTATGTTGAAAATAGACTAGGCTCAAGTTTGCATAACAATGGTCACGCTGAATAGCAGATCGAGAGGCAGCTAAGCATTAATGGGGTGCGCTTGGAGCCAATGGGAGCAGCTATCCATTGGCAACACATCACCAGCGTTTGGCTCTCTTGTTTGCCAGCAATGTTAGCAGTGACAGCCACCGAGTCTCTAGAAGGGGCCAAACCGGGCGGTTTCTGATAGAAAGGGCAGCTACCAACCTGAAGCTACTTAAACCTAAGACCAGGATCCACCAGCCTCGGCCTTTCACTTGGGTGATCCTAAGTGTTCCAAGGGACAGGTGGTCCTGACAGAGAACTGAAAGACTAAACCATAGATACTTGTGAATTTCTCATCTTTCTGACT